GCTAACAGAATCATAACACTTGACGATAAAAATAGCAAGAAGGTTGAATTATAACATTGATCTCAGAAAACTTCGCGTAAACAAAATCACCAGCCACCGAAACCACAAAGCGGCTCCAAATGAAAAACCTACCGACTCTCCGCAATGATTCTTCATTCGCAGTTCAATTTAGCATTTCAGTTTCGAAGACAAGGGCAATTTTGCTCTTGAAGATAAAGATTGAGCTTATCAAAATGTTTGAACTAAACGACAGAATGCCAGGGATGCAATCCGCTGAACATCAAGCGACAATCCCGCTAAAATTTTTCATAACTATACATAATTATGCGAATGTTTAGACAATCAACCAATCAAAATCACTACCCGGTTTTCGGGTAGTGAGTGACGTCACTGGACAGCATTAACGGCCGGTCGATTCAGACGTTGTTGAGAGGAGAAAACGACTCGAAGCAATCGGATGAATTTCAGGCTATCCACTCAATTGGCATCATGTAGATTACCAAACTATACTTAGGAATCAAAGCACAACTAAAAATGTGGCGCAGCTTGTTCAAGGCAGATTGTGTCTGCTACTCCAGTAAAAACCTCTATATTTATCAGTCAGAAAAACTTCATCTCTTAAAGAGATTTGATTTTCACTACATACAATTATTATTGAAACCTAAAAATGTAGCTAGTTAAAAGTTCATTGTAAACACAATGAACTTGATGCCATCAACCAATTCATACAAAATTGATTTTCTAGTACTCAGAATTTGAATCTTATCTTTTTATATACAGTGGACATTCCAACCTGTAGAGTGGGATTTTCCAGACTAGCCATAGCTACATGTAGCAACTTCAGGGCTTTTGGTAGTCATACCCTCCCTTTTTGAATTAAAATACGAAAATGGGCAGAATAAAATACGTAGAAATTAAGAAATATGTTATAATTAATTTTTTATCTCAGGTTTTGTTTCAACTTTATTAGTATACATTACCATACCCCAAAACAAAAATAAGCCAAGATAAAAATTAACTACAAAAAATACATTAACTTCAATTTGCAAGGTGGACTTTGAAAAAGAAAGGGCATTCATTTTTTGTTTGTTTGTTTGTTTTTTTATGATCTCAATAATTATTTCAATGCCATGAAATTTCTGCCATGAAATTTCATGAAACCTTAAATTATTTTTTTCCATTTATTGTCCAAGCCACCTGCAGCGTGTATAACAAAATGGTCTGTCTTGAGGAAATAGATGCTTACTATAAATAAATGAGTTATAGACAATTTTTTAAAGTTCCTCGCAATTACACATGCACTGCATGAACTTGTTGGAAAGTAAGGTACACTTTGTCCTCAAACTGCTCTTGAGATTTTAAAGCTGTCTTGCATGAAAAGACGAAAACAAACATTCCTTTGATTTCCATTTGAAATACATTTAAAAGTACGAACAATTATTTTTTATTTACAAAAAATATATTTAATGTTTTTGTTGATAAAAATTGTTCATATTTTTAAGATTTTATTCTTCCTTTGAGTCTGACAATGGTTTTGAATCTCTGGTTTCTCAATAGCAAACAAGTAAAAAAGAAACAGCTTGCCAAATATTGAAATCATTAAATGATTTCATTGAGTCCCTCAATTAAATTTTTTTTCCTCCTTCTCTTGTGTATCTTATTTTATAGCACATTAATTTTATTTGAAAACAGTTGTGAATTTTGTGTTAAATGAGGGCAGGTATGGCCACTAAAAAGCCAATGAAGCTGGAGCTCAATCTTATTTTGAACAAGCTCAAGCTTAGCACCTCTGTTTTGTCTACATGGTTCCCTAAAGAGCTGGATTACAAAGCAAAATTTACAACACTTACAGTACTGAAGATAAGCTCTAACTCCTGGCTGTTGAAGTCTTGACACATCTGCCGGACCCATCTGATCTGAAATGAAAAATCAATCATCTCCATGAGCAATCGTGGTAATCTTGCTTCATATCATGGAAGGCATTATATTAATTTATCTAATTTGTTACATTAATATGACCCTTATGATTTTCTATGAGGACCCCACTGAAAACTGCCATGGCAAGTTTGGCTCCCTCATCAAATATTACTATTATTATGATAATCATCATCATTACTATTATTATTAATCATGTTATTATCATGATTATGTTGTGATTAAAATTATATTATTCTTTTTACCATTGAAGTCGAACTAGTTCTGCAAGACAATTCACAGGAGAAGAGTTGAATAGAGGAGTCAACACCACCTTGGATGCATGGATATAGTTGCTTGGGGATTCTGGGAGAGGCAGAGGTCTCCTTTCATTAATGTGAAGGTTTGCCACCTGAATGCAGATTGCTACAGAGATTTGGATCCAGACCAGATATTCAGGCGACACAAAACAGAGAAGAAGTGCCAGTACACTAGTTGAGTGTTACAAGTAGAGCAAGCTTCATTACCGCCATTAGTTTTCAGCACGACAGGTGGTATGGCATTGGAATATAAATGATACCATACTAGGCTTGCCGAGCTATTTGCTACAAAGAAGGCAAAAGCTATGCAACTACCATAACATTTCTTCATTGCGCCAGTTATGACTGCATGGAACCACAAAGTTACTCTGCATAATTTCCAGACACATTTCAACGCCCGCTTCAGGTCTTGGTTAGTTCTCAACTTTCCCTTTCCTTCAGGTGTCAAATGGACTAGCAACATCAATAATCAGGCACTTCTGTTCTATTCCAATACAGGCTTGTTGTGTTCAATCTTGTTGCAGCTTGTTGTTAGTGGATTCATACACTGGTTGTGGATCATGGTTGTTGTCAGTGGATTCATACACTGGTTGTAGATCATGGCTGTTGTTAGTGGATTCATACACTGGTTGTGGATCATGGCTGTTGTCAGTGGATTCATACACTGGTTGTGGATCATGGCTGTTGTTAGTGGATTCATACACTGGTTGTGGATCATGGCTGTTGTTAGTGGATTCATACACTGGTTGTGGATCATGGCTGTTGTTAGTGGATTC